CCAGTCTCTGTTTAGGCCTAAGTTAATTGTGTCTAATTTGCATATTAATTCGAGTTCAGCAGTCTCTCTTTGGAGTCTGTTTTTGAAGTTTTTTTGTTGCAAAACTGACACCTTCAAGTCTGTCACTGAGTGATTAGAGAGGTTGAAGTGTTCTTCCACTGGTTTTTGAATGTTATGATTCCTGATGTCAGATTTGTGTCCATTTATTCTTTTGCATAGAGACTGTCCAGGTTGGCCAATGTACATGGCAGAGGGGCATTGCTGGCACATGATGGCATATATCACGTTGGTAGATGTGCAGGTGAACGAGCCCCTGATGGTGTGGCTGACATGGTTAGGTCCTATGATGGTGTCACTTGAATAGATATGTGGACAGAGCTGGCATCGGGTTTTGTTGCAAGGATAGGTTCCTGGGTTAGTGTTTTTGTTGTATGGTGTGCGGTTGCTGGTGAGTATTTGCTTAAGGTTGGGAGGCTGTCTGTAAGCAAGGACTGGTCTGTCTCCCAAGATCTGTGAGAGTGAGGGATCATCTTTCAGGATAGGTTGTAGATCTTTGATGATGCGCTGGAGAGGTTTCAGTTGGGGGCTGAAGGTGGCAGCTAGTGACGTTCCGTTATTTTCTTTGTTGGGCCTGTCCTGTAGTAGGTGGCTTCTGGGTACTCTTCTGGCTCTGTCAATCTGTTTTTTCACTTCAGCAGGTGGGTATTGTACTTTTAAGAATGCTTGATAGAGATCTTGTAGGTGTTTATCTCTGTCTGAGGGATTGGAGCAAATGCGGTTGTATCTTAGAGCTTGGCTGTAGACAGTGGATTGTGTGGTGTGTCCTGGATGGAAGCTGGAGGCATGTAGGTAAGTATAGCAGTCAGTGGGTTTCTGGTATAGGGTGGTGTTTATGTGACCATCGCTTATTAGCACAGTAGTGTCTAGGAAATGGACTGCGTGCGTGGATTGGTCTAGGCTGAGGTTGATGGTGGGATGGAAATTGTTAAAATCATGATGGAATTCATCAAGGGCTTCTTTTCCATGGGTCCAGATGATGAAGATATCATCAATGTAGCGCAAGTAGAGTAAGGGCGTTAGGGAACGAGAGCTAAGGAAGTGTTGTTCTAAGTCAGCCATAAAGATGTTGGCATACTGTGGGGCCATGCGGGTACCCATAGCAGTGCCGCTGACTTGAAGGTATATATTGTCCCCAAATGTGAAATAGTTGTGGGTGAGGACAAAGTCACAAAGTTCAGTCACCAGGTTTGCCGTGATGGTATCGGGGATGCTATTCCTGATGGCTTGTAGTCCATCTTTGTGTGGAATGTTGGAGTAGAGGGATTCTACATCCATAGTGGCCAGGATGGTGTTTTCTGGAAGATCACCGATGGATTGTAGTTTCCTCAGGAAGTCAGTGGTGTCTCAAAGGTAGCTGGGAGTGCTGGGAGTGTAGGGCCTGAGGAGAGAGTCCACATAGCCAGACAATCCTGCTGTTAAGGTGCCAATGCTTGAGATGATGGGTCGTCCGGGATTTCCAGGTTTATGGATCTTGGGTAGCAAATAGAATACACCTGGTCGGGGTTCTAGGCATGTGTCTGTACAGATCTGTTCCTGTGCTTTCTCCGGGAGTTTCTTGAGCAGATGATGTAGTTTCTTTTGGTAATCATCAGTGGGATCAGAGGATAATGGCTTGTAGAATGTGGAGTTAGAAAGCTGCCTAGCAGCCTCTTGTTCATATTCCAACTTATTCATGATGATGACAGCACCTCCTTTGTCAGCCTTTTTGATTATGATGTCAGAGTTGTTCCTGAGGCTGTTGATGGCGTTGTGTTCAGCTCAGCTTAGGTTATGGGGCAAGTGATGCTGCTTTTCCACAATTTCAGCCCGTGCACATTGATGGAAGCAATCTATGTAGAAGTCTAATCTGTTGTTTCGACCTTCAGGAGGAGTCCATGCAAAATCCTTCTTTTTGTAGTGTTGGTAGGAAGGATTCTGTGGGTTAGTATGTTGTTCAGAGGTGTGTTGGAAGTATTCTTTGAGTCGGAGACAGCGAAAGTAGGATTCTAGGTCACCGCAGAACTGTATCATGTTCGTGGGTCTGGAAGGACAAAAGGAAAGGCCCCAAGATAGGACAGATTCTTCTGCTGGGCTAAGAGAATAGCTGGAAAGATTAACAATATTGTTGGGTGGGGTAAGGGAGCTACTGTTGTGGCTCCTTGTGACATGTAGCAGTTTAGACAGTTTAGTGTCCTTTTTCTTTTGTAGAGAAGCAAAGTTTGTGTTGTAAATGGCTTGTCTAGTTTTTGTAAAGTCTATCCATGAGGAAGTTTGTGTGGAAGGTTGGTTTTTCATGAGAGTATCCAGTTTGTAACTTCTCCAAAAGAATCACTAAATGACTATTTTACCTTGTCTGGTTAAGTAAATCAGCACATGAACTAGGAGGTAAGGATCTGTTCAGCCAAGAGCTGCGACCTTTAAAAACTTCATGGGCTCAAACAGATCTTAGGTACACAATGCTTGGGAACATGCAAAGCCATTTTTGACCCATGTTTGTTAGGTCAGCTTAAAATGATCAGTTTGTTCCAATTTGTATGGTAAAGAAGGACTGTCAGATTTGAGATGGCTTGTTTAATCCTCATGTCAACATGATTGTCAACAGAGCTAACTAAAAAGTCATAGACAGGACAGGACACTTAAGGTATTTTCTGCATTCCTATACTTCAGTATACGAAACAGTTTAGCACACAGAATATTCTGCTCCCAGAGAGAGAGAGTGAGTCAGATGTTGTTTTATTAAAAAATAACCAGTGACTTTTTTCAGTTTTTTTTTTTTTTTTTTTTAAAGTTTATATCAATGTTTTTTTGCTGTTGGCCTTTGGGATCAGTTTGTTTATTTTTACATCCTTTCATATTTTCAGTTGTTTACAAAACTGAAAATGCCCAGAAGCTGGGATTTTTCCTCCCTTTCATCATCCTTTTCTTCCCACAGCTGTGCAATGGAAGGTTCATGCATGCAGCTCTAAAGCCCTGATGCCGAACAAGCTCCTTCCAACAGCAACATCTGAGTCTCTGGATGACTCCAATTTAGCATTTATGTAGTACTTTTATGTTCAAAGCTCTGCACAGACATTCATTAATTAACTTTCACACCTCTATGAGGTGAGCATGGTCAGGATTATCCCTATTTTAAATGTGGGAAAACCAAAACAGAGATGACGTGACTTTCTCAAGGACGAACAGCTACTGAGTAGCAGAGCCAGGATTAAAATGGACTAGTTCCTGAATCCCAACACTGTCTATTCCACCAGACTACTAGAGCTAGTTGAGATTCTTTGACCATTTTTTTTCTCCTAGCAAAATATCATTCTGTTGAATTTGGCATTTTCCCCAGGAAAATGTCAATCTCAACTAAGATTTTTGATTTTCTGATCAGGAGAATGGAAAATAAAAAAAACTTGTTTTGACGTGTTACATCATTTCATTTTTATTGAAAATGTCAAAAAAAATCCATGTAGTCATTTCTGATTACCAAATTTTCAGAATGTTTAATTTTGTGAAAAATTTGATATATGACTTTTCGTTCTAATTCAGAACAGAAAATAATGTCAAAATCTCAATTTCCCACAGAAGGAAAATTCTGCATTAAGTCTCCCACTCTCAGTTACAGTAGTGCGAATCTGTAGTAACTTCATTGGAGTCACTCTAGTTTTACACCTATAGTTGAAAATAGAATCTACCCATTTATAATTTTATTCTTAATCTTTCTTGCTGATTTATTCACTGGCTACTCTGCTGCTTGTGTTGTGTTGTAGCAATAGAATGGCTCTCAGCTCACACTGGCCCTGTTTCAGTAAGGTAGTTAAGCATATGTATGTTTTTAAACAATTTGGCTTCAGTAGGACTACTCACATGCTTAAGTACCTTGTTCAAGCAGAGCCACTTTCACTGGATGGAAATAGATTCCCTCTTCCTAAAAGTCAGTCCATTTAGTGCTCTTGATTTATGAGAAAAGGCCATAAACAAACTGATTCCACTCCAGTTGAAGCTAATGTCAAAACAGTAGCCTTGTCTACCCTTCTATGTTTTCCCAGCATAGCTGTGCCAGCAAAATCCCTAGCAGAGGTGTAGTTATACCAGCAAAAATGTCCGTTTGACAGGATAAACTTATTTTGTTCAGGGAACTGGTTTAAACTATAAAAAGAACAGGAGCACTTGTGGCACCTTAGAGACCAGCAGATTTATTTGAGCATAAGCTTTCGTGGGCTACAGCCCACTTCTTCGGATAAACTATATCCACAAAAGCACTCTTTTGCCAGTAGAAGCTGTGTCTCCATAAGGAGGGTTTGCCAGTATAGATACCGCTTTCTAGCATAGACAAGGCCCGTCATTGATTGCAACAGGAGCAGGCTCCAATACTGAATTTAAGTCTGTGTTGGCACCACATTCTCAATAGCAAATTAAAAGATCTTCTGTATGGGGGAAAAATATTAACACTCTTCATGAAGTGTTCAGGGCGTAGCATAGGATTTTAGCCACAATTCCCAGCATCACAACGGGGAGTCCTGTAGTTAAACTGACATTCATCTGCTTGAAAAATCTATCAGTGTATATGTTTTCTGCACAAGCAATGCCTCTGAATCACTTCCTGGCCTTGCCTCACTTCTGTGGTTACTTTAACAAAGTGGAGAAAACTCCGCATTCATTGGCGTCACTCCAGATTTACTCTTGTATAAGCAAGAAGCGAATCTAACCATTTATAATTTTTTACAATTGTATGTTTTACTCCATCATTTAAACTTTGAACTTCATTACTGGAAATGAAGGTCACAGTTTCTGTTTCACAGCTGGTTCGCTTAAAATAGGCCAAATATATTGGGCTTCTGTTGAGTTACATCAGGAATGAATTTTGCCCCATGTGTGGTCCCTTCTGGCCTTCATATCTGTTGAACTAATATTGAACAAGCAAACAAAAGACAGAATGGTATTCTGAAAAATAACTTTGTACCCTTTTGTAACAGAAAGGAAGACTGAATTGTGACCCTACATTTGAACTAGAAGAAATGATTTTGGAGTCCAAACCCCTTCATAAAAAGAAAAAGCGACTTGCAAAAAACAAATCCAAAGATGGAGCGAAAGAAAGCTGTTCACTGGTAAGTCATGGAGTATGGGTGTAGTCAGAATCCCATTCCCTTTCTCTGAAGGATTTGATCCATCAAGTTCAGTTTAAGCATTTCTAAAAATGATTTGGTCCCAGTGTTGGTTAATCTGCAGTCCCAAAACACCTCCAAAACAAGGCACAAAGCAACGATTTATTTCAGTCATGAAAATAATTTGAGAACTTTAAGATTTAAAAAGCTAAAATATACACCTTTAAAGTAAGAAAATTGCTGCCAATTGGCAAATGCACTTCCCACACATGGGTGGAAGAAGTCATAAGGAGTACTTATCTGCAGCTGGTACTTAGAATGACAATGTGCAGCACACAAGCTGCATGTTTATAAAAGTTTTAAGGAAAGTCTCAAATATTTTTCTCCTCTTTACCAGTCTTGACTTATGTATCCCACATCTAAAGGCTCTTTATATAAAAATCCTAAACTTTTCAAGGAGATAAAAAGTAATAATTTTCCAGGCTCAAATTTTCAATGCAACGATGTTTTATACATGCTGTTGCTGCTTCAAGTGGTTTTGAACACTCACACATTGTAATCTTCTTAGAGCTATCAGACTTTAAAATGTTCAAGAAGAATTCTTTAAAGGTGAACATCTCCCTTTAAAAACATTCAGACAGCACAATATATACATCTTGAAGAATCTGGAAAATGCCGCTTGTTCATATTAATTTGTAAGCTGTTTTGTTCAACACCGGTTCTGTTGTTGTGATTTTGTGTACAATTTTCTGTCATATATAATCAACATATTTGTGCTGTTTTTAAAGAATGTACACCTGCAGCAGTGCTTGGAAACTGTGAGGAAAGAATTCATCATATTCAACAGAGAAAAGTAAGTGCATTTCTTAAATGCCCGTTTTACACTGCTGAAATTAATTTCAAAAGGAGAAGGATTCCCTCCCCCCCAAGTCTTAATAAAAATGATTAATGATCACACCAGCATGAGTTAAAAGCCCTTACATGAAATAAAAGGCTGGACTTTCATTGATTTCCCTGCTGTACTGTCTGTGGCGTAGCATTGTTGTTATTCTTCCGTCTCTGAAAACAAGCAGAATGCTTACCGTGAATGTGTGGTAGAAAGAAGAGGTAAATGTCACTGGTGGTCTCCAGAGAAGCAGTAACAATTAAGCAAAAGGACTATTATACAAAGGGCCTGCTTTTTCACAAGTAGAACAAAGCCAAAAGAGGTGATAACTCATGAAATTTTAATAAAGTAAGCTGCAGTGTTCCGATGTGGATATTCTTTGTGTACTTGGCCTCCAAAAACCAAGACTCCATTACTTCTTTTCATCATAACTCAACGTTCAGAGAAAAGTGATACCTCTTTATAGCCAGCAGGCATGCCTTAGTGGTCTAAACATTAGCTAGAACCACTGGAAACAGGTTTGAATCCCAAGAGGGTAGACACCCTCATTTGTCCTAATAATACATTGGATTCCATGTAGTTTACTGGATGGGGGTCTCTTGGATATAACCATAGAAATTGTAGACCTGTCTGTTGTGCATTGACATTGAAGATCCAGTGGCAATTTTCATAATAGAAGTGGATTACCCCAGTCTCCTTGGCCAAATTTTCCTTTCCCCTGATCTCACTGTTTTCAGTAGTTTCATCTGAAAGTGTCATTAGGCCAGAGAGAGAGCAAGCATAAGGATGATTCTGTAGCTTGGTGTCACAGATCCCCAGGATCGCTGCATCACACCCAGCTTTGGAACAGTCTCCAGGAGGAACCCTTCAGTGTGCCAGACCCCATAGGGGTTTCACTTTTCCTCCAGGGTAAGCCATACAGCTTCACTGCCTCTTTGGACTGTACCTCTGAGCCTTCAGCACTCCTGGTTCACACTATGAATTCCATTCAGCGAGACTAACTGAGGTAGACTCCTGGTAGAGGCTTGTATACTTTTCATGGATTAATGCACCTCACCAAGCATTTGCAGTGACATTCAACCAGCATTGTCAAAACAGGCAGGTTTATTAACTAGAACATGGCATAGGTAGACCTTAAGGTAGTATGCAGAACTGAAGGTTAAAGCATAATCCATTTCTGGTTAGCCCAGAGCCCAGGCAAGCTGTAGTGATTCCTTTTGTTCAAGATCTCTCAGTCTCTCCATCTGACCTCCTTGGTCAGACTCCAGGGGAGAGCCCCAGCTCCTTCCAGCAGCCAACTCTTATCCCCCACCTCATACTTCTCCAATCTTTTTTTCTCCAGCTGGGAACTGCTGGGCAGCAGCCCCGCTGAGAGGTGGGGAAATCCAAATCTCTCTGGGTTGTTGGTTACTAGGTATCAATGACTATTGGGTTTGCCATTGTTTTCTCAACTGCTCCAATGATATGGGGACTAAGGCCCAGACTGCTAGGTGACACTCACACCAATATCTCTTAGATGCTGGGAGAGCAAACTGTCCTACTGTGCAATAGTGTGGCATAAAGGGGAAACTGAGGCACACATAAGTCTCATAAAAGTATTACAAAAAATCCCCACTTTGTCACACCTAGTGGTTAGACCAGTCACTCCGGAGGTAGGAGACCCAGGATCCACTCCCCCTGTTCTAATGACTGTACTTTAAAAATTATGTATTTGGAACAGCTTCAACAGGAGAAATTGAGGAATCCCTACATCAGAATACATCCTATAGCCCAGTGGTTAGGGAACTCACCTGAGAGGTGGTAGATCCATATTCAAATTCTTTTCCCCCTCAAATTGGGGGTCTCCCAGAGCCCAGGTGAGTACCCTAACCACTAGGCTAAATGTTATGAGGGAGATCCTTCCCCCAGCTGTTTTGTGTGAGTTTGTTTACAGGTACCAGATCCATTAGGCGAGCTTTGAGCACACTTACCCTGCAGGCCTGGGTTGTGCATCACTTTTAGTCTTAGATGTCCAGATGCCTAGAGTGAGGCTTCAGTGCACATGCTCAGGGACAGAATCATGGGTGCCTAGAGAACTTTTATTGCACAACATTAGGTGCAGAGCAGGTGTAGGCACTTACAGGGTTCTGCAGCAGCTGAACAAAAGTTTTGTGAATCCTGGTAGGGCCAGATTCTGGGATTTTGGCACATAAATTGGCAGTTAGGCAAATAAGTCCCCATGTGATTTCAGTCCCTAGTCTCTAAATAAGGTGTGTGTGTGTGTGTGTGTGTGTGTGTGTGTGGAGTCATATTCTCAGGGTGGATGCCAATGTATCTATTCCAGGATCATACATTAGGGCAGCCCAAAATGTAGTAGTGTTTGCAACAGGAACAAAAAATAAAGGCCATACTTGTAGGATGGGGGACTCTCTCCCGGGAAGCTGTGACTGTGAAAAGGACACAGGGGTCTTGCTGGAAAATCAGCTGAACATGAGCACCCAATGCGATGCTGCAGCCAAGAGAGCTAATGTGATCATTGAATATATAAACAGGAATATCAAGCAGAAGCAGGGAGGTTATATTACTTTTGCATTTGGCACTGGTGCCCTGTGCCTATTTCTGGTGTCCACAACTCAAGAAGACATTGATGAATTGGTGAACATTCAGGAGAACAATTAAGGGATTGGAAAACATGCCTTATATTGAAAGACTTAAGGACTTCAGTCTTTTTAGCATAACAAAGAGAAGATTAAGGGGTGACTTGATCACACTTTATAAGTACCTACCTGAGGAACAGAAATCTTATAACAGATGTCTCTTCAGTCTAGCCAACAAAAGCCAATGGAAGTTAAAGATTAGACAAATGTGGACTGGAAATATGGTGCATATTTTTAACTGTGAGGGTAACTGACCATTGGAACAACTTACCAAGAGTTGTGGTAGACTCTCCATGTTTTCCTAAAAACTGCGGTCTAATTCAAACAGGAATTGATTCACAGGTCAGACTAAATGATCACAGTGATGCCTTCTGGCTTCATAATCTAATCTATGAATGTATGATTTGCAAAATTCTACTGGAGAGCTCACTTGTGATGAGTAATTCCTTTTTACTTGACTTTATTTCATTAGACTGAAAATCTTTATTTTTTTATCAGCCCGTAGATGGTAGCTATATCAATTCTTGCATATCATGAAAAACAATGACTGAAAAGACTAAATGTTAGATGGACTGTGAGATGGGTGTGTAAACAACAGGGAAAGGAGTAAATTCACTAGAAGAAAAGGAAAATCCTGGAGAACATCTGCACGTCAGTCAAATTATCATGTGTTTCAGTCATTGGTTGATTGGCTTGACAGTGTAAAGGAGAGAGACCCATATGTAGGCCTGCAACAGGCCCTACATTGTTCTAAGTTAATTGAGAGTATTGTTTTGTTTTACTTTCAGCACTGAATTGCATTAGGGCTTCGTGTACTTTTCAAAGAACAAGGAAGTTAAATTAAGTTGATAACAGTGAGCAAAGGTCAGATTTTGAAACAGAAAGTGAATTAAAGTTTGTGTGAGCAGAATCAAAGCAATGACATACAGGAAAGAATAGAACACATAGAGAGTAAATCAGCATAGTCCTCAAGATGACTTTCTTCAGAGATTTCCAAACAACGCATTTCCAGCCAGCTGTACTGACCTAGATCTTTCAAATCTGCTTGGTTTGAATCTAGTTCTTGTGATTATCCACAGATTGTGACAGACATAAACTGCTCCTATGTGTGCAATATCAGATACTATGTGACCTTATTACCATAGTTACCCATTGTCACCACTTCCATCCATCCCTCCCGCATCATTTTTTTCTATCTTCTCATTCCTTTCCTTACTCACTCACTCATGCCCGTCACCCCAATCGGGGTATGGGCCGCCAACCACAGATCTCCAGAGTCCTCTATCCTGGGCCATTTGCTCTAGCTGGTTCCAGGTATAGCCCATTTTTATGCTATCAGCTTGAAGGTCACGTCGCCAGGTGTTTCTTGGACGGCCTCTTTTCCGCTTGCCTTGGGGGTTCCACCGCAATGCCTGTCTCGCTAATGCCTAGTAGGGTCAGGTTGTTGCTCCTCATCCCTGCTGCGATCTGCGCTGTCTTTCTTAACTCGTACATAGTCCTCACGTTCCATGTACCGATGGTAATCCTCCTGGTTGCAAGAAGGGTAATCGGCTTAGTGGCTTCCTCACGACTTTCACCACCCAGCATCATGCGTCTTTGAGTTGAAGACCCTTCTTTTTCCAGGCTAAAAGTCTCTGTTATCTCTATTGTTGGCGTTTCTGTAGCAGGTTAATTTTTTACAGGGTCGAGTTGCTAGCCCCACGCCCAACCCTCCTCCTTTATCCTGACTTGGGACAGGCAGATGGCCCCAAAGGACCTCTCTGGTGGAGTTCCTTTCCTTACTACCTTTGTTTAAATTCATATTCAATTGCAACTGTAAGTGCTGCTAATCATACATAGGTAACTCATCACTGTTTCTTACATGACTATACATTTTTCTATCACTGTTTCTTTGCACACACCAGAACTGCCTTTATAATTCATCTGTTTGAAAATATTTGATTATTACCTCAGATAAACCTTCACTATAAAAAGCCAAATTCTGCTGTGACTTAAATCTTCTGCCTCATTTACTTCAGTAGCATAGAAACATGTGTAAATCAGGTCAGAATTTAGCACACAGCTTTCAGGTGAAAGGATGGTAAGTCCCCAGAACAAAGATATCTGTGAAAAGCTTAATGAGCTTTCTTATCAGGTAATCTTTTCTTGAGCAGCAGGTTCTATGGTAATGTGGTACAGCTAGGGTAGGATTAGGGATTCATAGAATATCAGGGCTGGAGGGGACCTCAGGAGGTCATCTAGTCCAATCCCCTGCTCAAAGCAGGACCAATCCCCAATGAAATCCCCAAATGGCCCCCTTGAGGATTGAACTCACACCCCTGTGTTTAGCAG